CCAGCCAGGCACAACCGTGGCTTCCCCGGCTTCCTCTTGTACTCTTGGTACGTACAAGCTCTTTAATCTCTCCTCTGAAGTGTTAGACTTTCTGAGAAAGCATCCTTTGATAATTGATAGCGCAAACTTTTTTTTTACAGAAAAGAGAATAATAGTTCGACAGAAATGTGGGCATTCAAATCCAAAGATATATTAATCTGAATATCACACTTTAAATGGATAGAAAAGAAAGATAGTTCACTCAAGATTCTTACTCATAATTTTTAACTTTACTGGTTTTTTTAGTTGTATGCTTTTATCCGTGACTATGATAGCTTTAGGGGGATGTTCCTGTACAGTTCGTGGTAGAATTAGTATCCTATGTTGTCATAGTCAGAAAGGCCCCCATCAAATAAATTGTGCAAATGCATAACTACATAGTTTTCAAGACAATAATTATCGCAATAATGGCGCAATTGATGCCATAATAGGGAGAGCTGGTCAGGTCAGCGTGCATCATGCAGGTTATTGAAGGCCAGTATTCATCGGCAATCTTGATTTGTTGGTAGATCGATCAAGCACATATAGCTAATTAGCTAGCATATATAGTCAGCCATGAGAAGAGATAAAAATTTGGCACTTCATATTAGCTAGCATGTACATGCCTGGTGTGTTAGCTGTTACTCTGCATCGTTGTTGCTTTACCTTTTTTCTACAATTTCATGAATGTAACTAACACAGTAGTCATGTCATCCTTGTATAGGAATCAAGTGAGAAGTTAGCGATGGGTGAATTTTTTTGGCATAAAACCTCCTGAGAAGAAGGCAAGTATAATACATTCCCATTCTGTCATTTTCAGATGTGCTGCATTGTGTTATGTCGGTTTAGGCATCTTTCCGGCTACACTGTGAATTATCTCTATTTTAGGAAATGGAACTAGTTTAGTATTTCTGAAAGCTAGTGCATATCTATAAGCATTTTCTTTCTTGTCTGAACCCAGCAACCTGCTATACTAGCCACTATTATAGTGCTAATGTTCATTATACTTGTGCTATACTGACCACTATTCTAAAAGCTCTTGTTAACTGACTAGTGTGGATCAGGTAGTGTAAATGTGCTATTATACTTGTGCTTGAGATATCATCGTTCATACTGATTCTATGGGTCCTTTCTAAACTCCTCAAGTAGTATAGGAGGAAGTTGTATTGCAGTTTTCATCGGGGCAGAGTTAGAGCTTGTGCAGTATGGTTCACACATACATTCTGCTGCGAGTACAATGTACAACAATAAATGCAGTTCTCTAGTCAAGCCTAAGATTTGTCTTGCTTTAAATTTTTGATCTGCTGCTGCACTGCAAGTTTTAAGTCGATCTTGTTCTGGCATGTATAAGGTAGTGTTGGATGACCTAGGTGTACAATTCATATTTTTATGTTCCTGTCTTGTTCACCGTGGAGAATTTTAAATTGCTTATGAGAATTCAGATTATATCTTTTGCAAAGAATTGCACTCGGCAAAGAGTTCTTTGCCGAGTGCCGGACACTCGGCAAACAAGGGCACTCGGCAAAGAACTTCTTTGCCGAGTGCCAGACTCTCGGCAAAATCTCTACACTCGGCATAGGCTGCCCGCGAAACGGCGTTCGGTCACGGCCTTCTTTGCCGAGTGCCTGCTGTTAGGCACTCGGCAAAGATTTGATTTTTTTTTCTTTGCCGAGTGCCCCAGATCTGGCACTCGGCAAAGATTTAATTTTTTTAAAAAAAAATCTTTGCCGAGTGTCTCAGATCTAGCACTTGGCAAAGAATTTTTTTTTTTAAAATACTTTGCCGAGTGTCCCTAGCACAGCACTCGGCAAAGATTTAATTTTTTTTATAATTTCTTTACCGAGTGCTCCTGTTGATGCACTCGGCAAAGAGGAATTTTTTTAAAAAAAATTAAAACACTCTTTGCCGAGTGCCTTATGCCTGGCACTCGGCAACGACACCCTTTGCCGAGTGCCATGCCCCAGCACTCGGCAAAGTTTTTTTTGTTTTTTTGTTTTTGGCCTCTAGTTTTTTTGTGCAGCCCTTTTAAAGTACCAGGAACTCCTAGTTACAATTTGGGGATTTTTTGTGGCTTTTTGATATATTTAGTTACTTTATTTTGTTTACTTGAATTTTTTCGAAAAATAGAAATTTGAACTGCACGTGGTACGAATAATGGAGTTTAATGATTCAAAAATTGATAGTCATGTTAGTGAGTGTTGTGAGAGGCCGTATCCAGGAACGGACCCGAAATTTCGGACATCTTGTTCACGAAACATGTCCGTGAAATTGCGTGTGAAGTGTTTTTAAATTCTATAAAAAGTAAACGAAGTCCGAAAATCATGAAACTTGTTGAGATGTCGTGATATCATATGTGGAGGCTATGATAAAAAATTCAGAAGATTTTATGTACGTTGTCACGTACGATGCTTACAAACTAGGACATCTCTATATGTGATATCAAATCTCACATGTAGATATGTCGTGCTTTGTAAGCATCGTACATGATAACGTGCACGAAATCTTCTGAAATATTTATCATAGCCTCCATATATGATATCACGACATCTCAACAAGTTTTATGATTTTCGGACTTCGTTTGCTTTTTATAGAATTTAAAAACACTTCGCACGCAAGTTCGTGATCTTGTTTCGTGAACAAGATGTCCGAAATTTTGGGTCCGTTCCTGGATACGGCCTCACACTACACTCAGTAACATGACTATCATTTTTTGAATCATTAAATTCCATTATTCGTACCACGTGCAGTTCAAAATTATATTTTTCGAAAAAATTCAAGTAAATGAAATAAAGTAACTAAATATATCAAAAAATCATAAAAAATCACCAAATTCTAACTAAGAGTTTTTGGTGCTTTAATAGGGCTGCACAAAAAATTTATAGGCCAAAAACAAAAAAAATAAAAAAAACTTTACCGAGTGCCGGGGCATGGCACTCGGCAAAGGGGGTATTTGCTAAGTGCCACGGATAAGGCACTCGGCAAAGAGGGTTTTAATTTTTTTAAAAAATTTCCTCTTTGCCGAGTGCCTCCATAGGGCACTCGGCAAAGACATTTTTTAAAAAAAATTAAATCTTTGCCGAGTGCCGTACCAGGGGCACTCGGCAAAGTATTTTTTCGAAAAAAATATATTTTTTTAAAAACATCTTTGCCGAGTGCCATGTCAGGGGCACTTGGCAAAGTATTTTTAAAAAAAAATTTGTCGAGTGCCAGATCTGGGACACTCGGCAAAGAAATTAAAAAAAAATAACTCTTTGCTGAGTGCCAGATCTGGGACACTCGACAAAGAATTTTTTAAAAAATTAAATCTTTGCCGAGTGCCTCCTGATCCGGCACTCGGCAAAGAGCCGGTTCTGGGACTTAAGCAGCTTCGGCCGCCCGGGCAGTCAAACAGGTAGCCAGCCAGCCCAAGCGCCCACGCCCGCGCTGCCCCCGCCCCCGCGCCGCGCTCCGCTCCCACGCCGCCACCGCTCGCACGCCCGAGCCGCCCGCGCTGCCCGACCGAGCACTGCTTTGACCGAGCGGGGGAAAAGGCCCTATGGAGGAGGGCGCCGCCGCCGCCGGCTAGGGGCCGCAGCCGGCGTGTCTGCCGCCGGATCCACGAATCCATGACTGGACGGCCCCCCTGCCATCCTCGGCCGGCGTCCTTCGCGAGGGGGAGGCGCCGCCGCCCGCCTGGTCCAGCGCGCGCGACCGGGGTTGGTCCGGCGCGGCAACAGGCGGCCCCTCCCGCGCCCATCCCGGCCTTTGCAGCGGCCATCGTGGCCTTTCCAGCGGCGCGGAGGAGGAGCCCGGCGCGGCCGACCTTTCCAGCGACAAGGAGGGGCAGCCCGGCGCGGATGGCGCCTCCAGCTGCTCGCGTCTTAAGGTGCCATGAAGTGTTACTTGCTATTTTACCTTTCCAGACAATAAAGTTATGTTACTTAGCATGGTGAATTTTAGATGGTCCTATTTCTTGCAGTTATGGCTACTTAGATAAAATGTGAACTATTTTCTCTCAAATGAACTTGATTTCAGAACTGTAGCTATTGTTCTCTGAACCTGATTTTAGAACACACGATGCCTGCCTGCAGCCAGCAGCCTCGACGATCACGTACTGATCGATGAACTTGTGTGTATGTATGTGATACCGACCAACAGTCCAACACCAGGTGGAGGCGAACATAGGCACCGGCCAGCCAGGCACAACCGTGGCTTCCCCGGCTTCCTCTTGTACTCTTGGTACGTACAAGCTCTTTAATCTCTCCTCTGAAGTGTTAGACTTTCTGAGAAAGCATCCTTTGATAATTGATAGCGCAAACTTTTTTCGACAGAAAAGAGAATAATAGTTCGACAGAAATGTGGGCATTCGAAATCCAAAGATATATTAATCTGAATATCACACTTTAAATGGATAGAAAAGAAAGATAGTTCACTCAAGATTCTTATAATTTTTAACTTTACTGGTTTTTTTTAGTTGTATGCTTTTATCCGTGACTATGATAGCTTTAGGGGGATGTTCCTGTACAGTTCGTGGTAGAATTAGTATCCTATGTTGTCATAGTCAGAAAGGCCCCCATCAAATAAATTGTGCAAATGCATAACTACATAGTTTTCAAGACAATAATTATCGCAATAATGGCGCAATTGATGCCATAATAGGGAGAGCTGGTCAGGTCAGCGTGCATCATGCAGGTTATTGAATGCCAGTATTCATCGGCAATCTTGATTTGTTGGTAGATCGATCAAGCACATATAGCTAATTAGCTAGCATATATAGTCAGCCAAGAGAAGAGATAAAAATTTGGCACTTCATATTAGCTAGCATGTACCAAAAACCAAGCTCCTGCAAGTGCCAAAAATCAAGCTACTATTGAGTAAGTTCTTCAATATGATGTACATAATATTCTGAACTTGACTGAATTTTTTATACCCAAATGTCTGACCAGCTACACTTATCTTCAGTGGCCATTTATAATGGTTTCGCAGAATGTCAAGAACATGGCTTACTCAATGTAGTCACCTATAGTATGATAACAGTTGCACTTATCTTCAGCTGCAAGTACCTATAGTATGATAATTGTTCTAAAAAATATTGTTTGATCATAAAAAACTAAATATTAGTGAACTGATAGTAAATTCAGACCACTCTAACTCTTAAAATTATCTTGCAAAAGCAATGATATTTAAGATAGTAGCTGTAATCTGGAGACTACAACACAGAAAAATTAAGAATACACCTTCCATGCAAACTTCTGTACAAAAGAAGGAACTCTATGTTACTTGCTAGCTACTAATAGTGCTAGGGACATTCTGATTCAGATTATCATCGGGTTCTAATTATTGGCCTGAGCCAGATTGGTTTTTTTGGTGCCAAATTTGACAGGGAGGGACATAAATATGGTAACATATACCTGATTACTAACTGGCGAGCCAATATATGTTCTATTCCAGAAAACATCTCTTCTCTGGAATTGAGATCTCTTGGTCCAATTATTATTATTAATCCAGTAAACATGCATCCTTAGAAAGATCTATATAAATATTTGTGTACTTTACTCACTGTTTCTATTATACAAAAAAATCATCAGTTCAGTTAGTTTCTTCTTATTTCACTAACTTTATATGTGTATATATCAGGTGCTTTCTTGACCACTCTGAATACGCAACTGGGCTATCAAAGATTGCTAAAGAAAATATCCTGGTTGGCAGGTAAACTTTCTTTTTTCTCGCAAAAAAATTACACAGTGTTTGTCCTTCTATAGCCAATGCAGGCCGTGGGTTTCACATATTGAAGAACCTTGAAATCTTGCATATTCTACTGCCAGCTTTGTGTGCAGCAGTGGTTCTGACCACAAGTTGCAGGTTGAAATTTAAGCATACTTTTTGATAAATGAGCACCCTAGAACTTTCTCAATCATGATTTATGCCCCTCTTTTGGCAAAAAACAAAAGATCACGTACTATTTACTGACACAGTGTATCACTTTGACACTTTCAATTGCATTTAGATTGTAATTGAATTTTTATTCAGGATAAATCTCATGTGTGAGTTGACAGAGCAAGAACTATTGTTCTGTACATGTGAATTTGTGTAGGATACAATCCAAATGGAACCAGTTTATATATCAATTGTATTTCATTTTGTAATACTTTTCTGTATAGAGTGGCCTTCTATGTTAGAAAGGCCACATTTTGGATTGCATACCAAATTGTTATTTTCTATATCGAGTAAGGTAGGTCTTATTCCTTGCATTTCAGGTATGATTGAGCATGTTGGCTGAGACCTGGTGCCTTAAATATCTTAGGATGCGCTGCTGCTTCACTCTCTATGTCTAAGTAAGTTTGGTTGATTGATGGTGCAAGAGAGCTGCTGCATACTGCCCTTCTTTCTAAACATTGCCAGCTGCAAACCTTATTGCTTATTACAGTATTCTCTGTTGTTGGCACTTTTAAATTTGTACTTTGGTTTATAATGGTTTTGCAGGATCTCAAGAACAACCCTCATACTCAATGTAGTCACAGCTTATGTAGTGTTAAAAATCTTCTATGTTGCTGCTCATGTATTTGTCATGATGGAATGTAAAAAAAATTACATTTTTCCAGCTTTGCCGAGTGCTGTGACCATGGCACTCGGCAAAGAATTTTTTTTTAAAAAAAATTCAAACTTTGCCGAGTGCCGGCCAGAGGGCACTCGGCAAAGATTTTTTTTTAAAAAAAATCCAAACTTTGCCGAGCGCCGGACAGGGGGCACTCGGCAAATAAATTTTTTTAAAAAAATAAAAAATCTTTGCCGAGTGTCTGAAGAGTTGGCACTCGGCAAAGAAATTTTGTAAAAAAAATAAAAAATCTTTGCCGAGTGCCTGCAGGGTTGGCACTCGGCATAGAATTTTTTTTTAAAAAAAAAAAACTTTGCCGAGTGCCTGAAGGGTTGGCACTCGGCAAAGATTTTTTTTAAAAAATAAAAATCTTTGCCGAGGGCCTGCAGGGTTGGCACTCGGCAAAGAATTTTTTTTAAAAAAATAAAAAATCTTTGCCGAGTGCCTGTAGGGTTGGCACTTGGCAAAGAAAATTTTAAAATAAAAATAAAAAAATCTTTGTCGAGTGCCTGCAGGGTTGTCACTCGGCAAAGCCACCGTCAACGGGGCCGGCGCTGTGACGGTCGCTTTTCTTTGCCGAGTGTCCCCGGGGCACTCGGCAAAGCCTTTGTCGAGTGCCCGATAAAAGACACTCGGCAAAGAAGGCTTTACCGGTCGTGGAGGCGGCCGGCGAAATTAGAACCTAAATCATAGTAGCTAGTATGGATGAAAACAGATCGGATACGAACAGATATCACTGATATTACATTTGTTTTCATATTTCTGTCTGGATTCGGATTCGAATACGGATATTGTCAACCATGCCGGATATGATACAATTGGATATCGACATCATAAATATGCAATTTGATTATTCGGATACGAATACGGTATCGGATGTTGAATATTTGGACTCGGATTCGGACAGATCTGAACCCCTCCAAATAGATTCGGTCTCGAATACGGTCGAAAAATATTCGTACCGTTTTCACCCCTAGTAGCTAGGGATCACGTTGTTTTTATCAAATCTATATACGTTAATATTCTCCATACAATCTAAATCATAGTAGCTAGGGATCACGTTTTCATCAACGAACCCATCGTCCCAAAGAAATATACCAACTGGGAACTTAAAATTATCGATCATGTCGGCACGTACCCGTTCCTCGTACCGGGAGCTTTGTGACACGTACTGCATCAGACCCTCCGCACGCACGACTGCAAATCTCGCTCGTAGCAGGATGCGAACCAGAAACCTGTGAAACCAGATCAGAAGGTCCTGATTGGATCAAACCATCTCCGATCCATCCGAGAGGGAGGGAGGGTTAGACGCGCGCCAAACACTTGCATCGGTGCCGGAGCTGGGGGGCCGCCCGCAGCGCTTGGCGCTGGGGTCGATCGGCCGGGCCGGGGGGGGGGTACTGATGGAGAACCCGCGCGCCGTGCCTGCAGCTGCTGTGCGGCCGGGGGCTGCATGCGCGCGGCGCCGTCGGCTGATGAGAGGCGGAGGAGATGCATGGGCATGGACGCGGCAGGCCGGGCGACGAACGAAGCCGGCCGGGGCTGCCTAGCTGCTACGCGAAAGGCGACGGCGGCGCTAGTGCTGCTGCGGCGGCGCATCTATATATATATATATAGCTCCCAGATGGTCCAGGTGCTCGGCAATATGCATGCACGTAACTGTTACATTTCTGGCCCATGCAAACACACTGCTGTCAGTTCAGCCCAGATGGAGAGGAGGATCACTCACTGGATCATCGGCAGAGCAAAAGGCAATCCATATGCATCGGAATCGGATACACCCACCACATAGACATAGGCACGTAGAACCTACGTACACACATACACATGTATACGCCTCATCAGCTCAGTAGATGATCGATTCCTCATCATCCGGACTGATGGCGCAGTGGCGATGATGCCTCCATTGCAAACAAGTCCTTGAGCTGCGGGCTTCTTGTCGCCGGCGCCCGTGTTCTGCTGCGGCGGCTGCTGCTGCTGCTTCTCCTCTTCGTCGTCATGGTCGTCGTCGTTGCTTGTTGTGGCCAGAGTTTTCGGTGCCTGCTCCGGACTCTGCTTGTGGTGGAGGTGGTCCTTGCTCTTGCCCCAGAGGACGCTGTAGAGCCCTCCGACGAGGATCTGAGGACGCTGCCAGAAGATGGTGAGCAGGAGGCCCAGCGGGTTGGACATGGCCAGGAACACGGGCCCATGCTTCTCGATGCACCACGCCTGCAGGCTAAACTCGGTTAAAATTAAACTAGCTAAGCTCGGTTAAAATTAAACTAGCTAAGCTCGGTTAAAATTAAACTAGTTTGACCTGTACGCAATCCATAGTTATATTTTCTTTTGGGCGGAGGGAGTATTTATCAACAAATCTCCATTAAAATCATGATAATAATAAGGTTTGACTAGGAAATGAAGTTAGGACACATATATCTTTTATATTCTCTATTAATATAGGAAGTGTCTAATCATCTGACAACATATTTGTCAACCCCAAATCTGTCAAATGTTTGACAAATCAAAAGATAACAAGTCAGCCATGAAAACTGACAGATGCAGATTGGCATAACATGGGTCAAATATCAAACAAGATGCAAAACCCATTAACAGCACCACATCTAAAAATGATCAAACTATTAACACAACCAAATTTGAGAAGACAAGACATACATAAAAGTAACAATATAGACAAATAAGACAACTATTGTATAGCTTGACTTTTACAGCTTTGAAAATAGCCAAATACTTGACTTTATTATTGAGCTTGCTCTTACTGTACTTATATGTTAGAGGGGAGAGTGTAGACCCTAGATTTTGGGTTAAATACTCGATAGTTTTTTTTAAGAAAGGAATCGGAGGGCAGCGTGTTGCAACATATTTCGAAACAGAAAAATGTATATGGATTAGGCAAATTTGGCAAATATATTACGCATGAAAATAGCCTATGTACACAGCTCTACAGCATTATTGGTCTGTATAGAGATTGTAGGCACAAATTAAAAAGAAGAGATCCGAACAAAATGAAGTGCAAAATACTGTTAGGTTTTGCCTGATCTAGAAGCTCTTGCCTTGTATTACAAACAATTTCGCCAGCAAGGAAACATGATAGATTGCAAATAAACTTCTATCTAGAGACTACTTGTATATAATTTAAAAGGACTAACGTAATCCTAGAGTCGGACTGAAGTAATTCTTTTTGAGGCAACATGCAGAAAATGGCTTCATTTCAGACAGGTTTAAGTTGCATCATTGTCAGACATCAATATATACATGCTATCTTTGTCAAACAGCAACAGTTTTGGTCACAGGATTAACATGGTAAGATAACAAGTTTAGCATATATAGATGCTATCATTTGGCAAGAAACTACGACTGTTGGTGACTATGACTGGAAGCAGGTAGAGGTTAAAATGGTACATGAGACTCCAACACGTATATCATTTGGCAAAAAACTATGACAAAAGATCCAATGGTCATTTAACTGAAAATCATCAAATATATGAGAATGTCAGATACAAAAAAGTTGAACATCTCAAGCATATGTCCCTGCCTTATATCACTCAAACAGTGAGGAAATTTCGGATGCGGCAAGTTGACAACATGGTAGCTTTCAAATCAAATAGTACATGTAGAAATCATTGGCCGTGTCACATGGAGGTGATGCAACTGCATAGGATGACTACTTTCAGGTTTCAACATGCACACATAACATAGAACAAATAAAAACAACCAACTGCGACATAATTGACTTTGTGATGTTACGTGCAATAAAACTCCACTGGACCTACAAGTATTACATGCTGCAACCATGTCCTTAAGATGTTCAAATCTAAGAAAGAGATTTGAATCACAATCTCACAACTTCACGGGAATAATGAGCCATTAACTCTAATTTCACAAAATCTAAGAGAAGTGGCGGCCTTGCTAGCTTCAAAGCAACGTACATGTGTGTGTGGACTTGAATTACAAAAAAGCAAGCAGACCAGTCACTACCGGAAACACCTAAGTTGCCGAGTGTCCCCAGCTTTGTCGTGGGCAAGATTTCGGGCACTCGGCAAACAACATGCTTGCCGAGTGTCCCGAAGACGACACTCGGCAAACATAAAACTCACGGCATAATTGTATACGCCGAGTGCCTGCACTCGGCAAACAATAGACACAAAGCAACTTCATGTCCGGGTAACACTGCCGACCTCCGTTAGCATTTTGCCGAGTGTCACATGTTAACACACGGCAAACCCACATATATGCCGAGTGTCACCTTGAGACACTCGGCAACTCATGCTATATGCCGAGTGTCACCATCTGACACTCGGCAAACCTTCCTATATACCGAGTGTCACCTTGAGACACTCGGCAACTCATGCTATATGCCGAGTGTCACCATCTGACACTCAGCAAACCAATTTTTTTTTATTTTGCCCCCCAAACTTTTTGTACTGTTGTATTACAATACCTGTTGCTCTGTGTTGAAGTTTTGTATCATTCTGAGTGATTTTACTATATTTCGTCAATTTATTTTAGTTAAATGAATTTTCGGTAATTTTTTGGATTTGAACTGCAAGTGCTTCGAATATCCGAAAAAGCGAATAAAAATGATATTCTTGTCACTGAGTTTGATGTGAGACCGTATCCAGGGCCAGACCAGAAATTTCGAACATCGTGTTCGCGAAACATGACCACAAACGTGTGGCGGAAACGTCTGAAAATTCTATAAAAAGCAAACAAAGTCTGAAAATCATGAAATTCATCGAGTTGTCACGATATCATACGTAGAGGCTATGGTAAAAAATTGAGAATGTTTCGGCACAGTTAACACGTACGCTGCTTACAAATCGGAGCATCTCCAGAGAAGTTTCTGAGATTTGAGAAGTATCCTGTAAGATCTGGAGACAATTTGAATTTCGATTTGGAGTTTCACTTCAAAAATTTTCTATATGGATTAGAGAACAAAGATCGTTTCCTGTAAAATTTTGGCAATTTTTCGGATCCGTTTGACAATTTTTAATTTTTTTACCGCAATTATTGAATTTTATTTACAATAAATTGGATTTGAACAACAATTACATGAAATGTTGCCCAATAATTTATAAAAGCATCGAACATAAATTTCTAAGTGAATTTAACAAGGATTTTTGGAACTTCATCCGGGAAAAATTAAGTTTTGGAACTAAACAAAGTAAAAAAGCACATGAAATAACGAGTACCTTTGCCGAGTGCCAGAAGGTGAGGCACTCGGCAAAGGTTTAAAAAATGTTTTTTTAAAAGCTGTAAGTACGAACGGTTTGCTGCAAAAAAAAAAAAAAAAAAAAAAATGTTGCCGAGTGCCCCATCGGGCCGGCACTTGGCAAACAGGGCCCAAGAGCGCAAATAGGCCTGGCCACGCCTCCCTCCTCCCTCCTCTCCCCATTCAATTCACAGCCAGAGCCCTCGGTGCCACGCCTCCCTCCCCACCGGTGCCGGCCAGCCGCGCCTCCAGCCGTCGTTGGGCCTCCGCCTCTGCCATTGCGCCTCCACCTTCACCGCCCCTGCCCCCGAGCCCTCCCCTGCCCCCGAGCCCACCCCTACACGGGCGGTCGCCGGAGACGGGCGCCGGCCAGGGCACGCCACCACTGTTCCGCCCCCGCCCACCATAGCACCGCCCGCCGCCGCGCCCACTCCCCCCGTCCCCGCCCCTACCCGGCGGTCGCCGGAGACGGCCGCCGGCCAGGGCACGCCACCACTGCTCCTCCCCGCCCACCAGTAGCAGGGCCGCCCGCCCCCCTCCCGCCCCCCCCCCCTGGGTGCTCGCCGGAGAAGGCCGCCGGAGACGATCGCTCTCCTCCTCTCTCCCGACATCGACGATCGGGGGCCGCCGCAGCTGGTCCGGCCTCGCCGAGCTCCAGATCGACGTCTCCCAGTTCCTCCCCGTGGCCGTTTCCTCGCCGAGCTCCGGATCGACGCCTCGCCGAGCTCCGGATCGAGCTAGGTGAGCTGACAGAGAACCCGTGCTAAGATTGTTATTACACCGCTGTGCTATATGAAGTTTTGCCCCACTGATTTTAGTTCCTGGAGCAACATGGTCTAAGAATGTTCTACTGTCTATACTCCTATGTGATGGTAATGTTGTAACAGGCTTGCTCGTCGCCTGAAATGGGCAGTGGTACTTCTAGATGCTCCTGGGATGGGTGTATTATATGAGTCTTGCTAGAAACTGCTCTAGTTCCATACCTAACAATTAGCTCTGAGCCAATGTATTGGGTGCTTTTGTCTTATGGTTGTATCATTGCATCCCTTGTCTCATCCTCAATGTGAATGTGGTTATGCTCTTGTTAACTGGGATAGGATTTGGTTCTTTACTTCAGAAATGCTCCAATATTGCATCCTACTCAACCATATGCACCCTTGGTATCTTCAGTTCTTGACCAGTACTTGCTTTTGGTTATTGCTTAGTATACTGCATTTTTTTAGCAAGTGATGCGCCTTGTGTATTTTTTGCATGGGTTTGAACAGGTTCTGTACCATTTTTTTTCTTTAATGAATGATAAACAGCTCTCAGGTGTATTCAGGAAAAAAGTATAGTATTGCGTTTGGAGATACCTGTATTGTGATAACGTCCTTTTGTTCTATGGCAGTGGGTCTTTTTCTATTTAAGTTTCTTGTCATAATATGCCCAAGTACAGAAAAATATTTCTTTTTCTTGGCTTAGCTTGGAAGATATATAGCATTTTAAAAACATATATGCTGCAACGAATATGTGCTTAAGATATATGCTGCAGTTTTGACAATGAATATATGCTTAAGATATATAGCCTTTATGAGATATATGGTGCAATGAATATGTGTGCTTAAGTCACAAACATGTGCTGTTTGGTATTTATTGTCGAAAATGATCTTATTCCTCTTCATGTAAATGTTCTTTTTGGAATGGAATTCTATGAGCTGTTCCTTTAGTAGATAGCTATATCTAACTTTCTACTCTGCTATGTTTGTTCAACAATATGCAGGAGTTATAGTTTCGAGCTGAGCTGACAATGATCAATAGGTGTGGGGATTGCAGCCATCAAGCAGGGCCGACCGACCCTCTCCAACCGCCTCGGAAGAGCCGGCGCCCCCTCCCAAAGGTAAGGGCCGACCGATCCCATTCGGTTCATGTGGCTTGTGTGGAATGGCACTCTTCACAAGGGTTTGAGCCCTCCACTTCACAT